GGTACGCGGGCCTCTCACTGTCGTGGCCTCTCCCGCTGTGGAGCACAGGCTCCGGACACGCAGGCTCAGCGGCCATGGCTCACGGGCCCAGCCGCTCCACGGCATGTGGGATCTTCCCGGACCAGGGCACGAACCCATGTCCCTCGCATCAGCAGGCGGACTCTCAACCACTGCGCCACCAGGGAATCCCTAAGAATGATTTGTAACTGGTTGAGGGAGAAGACTCAAAAGAATATTTCATGACACATGAAAATTTTACAAAATTCAAATTTTAATGTCCATCAATAAAGTTTGCTATAATGTTAAACATACATTTACCATATGACCCTGAAACCCTTTTCCTGGGCATTTTCCCAAGAAAAACTAAAACCTACATTCACAAAAACCTGTAAGCAAAGATTTACAGTTTAGGCTTTATTCATAGTTGCCTAAAACTGGACATATCCTAATGTCCTTCAACTGGTCAGCAGATAAACAAACTGTGGTACATCCACACGTTGCAATTCCACTCAATACAAAAGAATGAACTATTGGGACTTCCCTGGTGGTGCAGTGGTTAAGAATCCGCCTGCCAATGCAGGGAACACAAGTTCGATCCCTGGTCCAGGAAGATCCCACATGCCGCAGAGCAACTAAGCCCATGCGCCACAACTACTGAGCCTGCGCTCCAGAGCCTACACGCCACAATTACTGAGCCCGCGAGCCACAACTACTAAAGCCCGCGTGCCTGGAGCCTGTGCTCCACGACAGAAGAAGACACTGCAGTAAGAAGCCCATGCACCGCAACAAAGAGTAGCCCCTGCTCGCCACACCTAGAGAAACCCTGAGCACAGCAACAAAGACCCCACGCAGCCAAAAAAAAAAAAAAAAATGAACTACTGATACAACAACATGGATGAATGTCAAATGCACTATGCTAAGTCAGGGGCAAATATTTTCTATAAAGGGCCAGATAGTAAATATTTTACACTCTGTGGGCTTTCTAATGGTTATATAAGCCTCTAGACCCTGTATTGTCACACTTCACACTTGGAACCTACAGAATAGCTTCTATTTTAAAGTACAAATAGTGGAAACACAAAAACAGGAGATGCAGAGTGACAGAAATGGATGAGATGCCTCCTAATATCTATTCTCCCATTTTTCCTTGATAATAGGATCCCCAATTTAGCTGGGCACATGGAATAGGCTACATTATTTCTTCCTTATGGCGAGGTGTAGCCATATGACTAAAGTGTGGCAGGTGGAAAATAAGTGGAATTATGGTGTATAATTTCTTGAGAAGGATCCATAAAAAATGGGGTGTACTCTCCTACTCTTTTTCCCTGGCTGAAATATGCACATGACAGATAGAGCCTCAGCAGCCATCTTGGGTCATGAGGTAACCCTACACAGGCGGAGGGTGAAGGAAAAGCAAGTCAAGAGGAATCTGGCCTTCGTGACTCTGAAACCCCTCTGTGCATTCTGGAGATCTACCTCTGAACTTCTGTTATGAGAAAGAGAAACATAGTTCTGTCTTCTTTAAGCCATTATTGTTTGGGGTATTTTTACTCACAGCCAAAGCTAATCCTAACTATACACAGTGAGAATTCATTCCTCACAAAGGTGGTGCCAGAGTGAGACTCCTGAAGGCCTCGTGCTATGCAGCCTGAGCTGTCTCATTCCTCTCCATTCCTGGCCTGGTTTTCTTCAACCTTCCCTTTGATAATTTTTGTATGGAGCTTTCCATACAATTCCACTAAATTCCCTATTTTGCTTAGTTAGATAGAATAGGTTTCTTTTGCTTGCAAACAAAGAACCTTACCTCATAAAACAAATTTTGCACGCTTTGGAAAATCTGAAGAGCGTTTGGGTTGAGCGTCTACTACATGATAAAAGAAAAAAAATGCCCAGGATACCATTCCAGACTCAAATCAGCCCAAGTCATCCTATTTTTCACCTTATGTTGCTTATCACGCCTAGTACCTGTAGCCCAGTAGTAAATATCCCAGTCATTACTGGGTTCATTAATCAGGCGATCGTAGAGGTTCAGTTGTTTCTCTGTCATGTGGTGCAGATGTGCCTTAGCAAAGAGGCTAGAAACAAGAAAGAAAAAGAAGTTGAAAAGCCTGTCTCCAGTCAGAGAAGTGACATCCAGACTCCTATCCCCTTACCTAAGTAGGATGCAGTTTTCCAGCATTCCCCTCTTTCTACTCTCATAGAGCAGCCGGGCTCTTTTGGTTTCTATGGATTCATCAGTTCGCTCCCGCCATGGAGGCAAAGGGATTTCAATCATGCCCTTCTGGGAATCTGTCGGGCTGTCACCTCTGTAGCAGCGTTTGAATGATGTCACTCTGAGTGAAGGAGACACTAGGTGGCGTCTTGACAGAGCAAGCATCTGAAACAAATAAGCCACACATATCACACTTTTTTTTTTTTTTGGCCTCGACATGCGGGATCTTAGTTCCCCGACGAGGGATCGAACCTGCGCCCCCTGCAGTGGAAGTGCGGAATCTTAACCACCGGACCGCCAGGGAAGTCCCCACAAACATCTTTTTAACAGGACGACCATCCTTGTCATTCACTCAACACTTACTAGGTGCAAAATGCATTTGATCTCCTTCAGTCCTTAAGAAGTTATGCTGATTTTATAATAACTATAAATGGAGTTTAATCTTTAAAAATTGTGAACTACTATGTTGTATACCTGAAACTTATAAAATACTGTAAGTCAACTATACCTCAATTAAAAAAAAAAAAGAAGTTATGCTGATACTGTCCCCGCTTTACAGCTTAGGAAGCTGAGGCTCGGAGAGGTTAAATGACTTACCAAGATCACCCAAACAGTAACTGCTGTGAAGACTGGAACCCACCTCTGACTGCAAACATGTTCTTAACCAGTGTCTTTCCAGAACCTCTCCAGCAGAAATATTTTCTCTTTCCTTTGCATTCCCTTAAAATTCTTACAATATGGTTTGCATCCTAATCACCTGCCTGTGTTAAAATCTGAGCATACGGTGATGGCCCCTAATTCCCCAAAGTCTCCCAATCTAGAGAAGGGCAAAAACTATCAAGATGCAATGAGGGCTTCCCTGGTGGCGCAGTGGTTGAGAATCTGCCTGCCAATGCAGGGGACATGGGTTTAAGCACTGGTCTGGGAGGATCGCACATGCCACGAAGCAACTGGGCCTGTAAGCCACAAGTACTGAGCCTGCGTGTCTGGGGTTTGTGCTCTGCAATAAGAGAGGCTGTGATAGTGAGAGGCCCACGCACCGCGATGAAGAGTGGCCCCCGTGTGCCACAACTAGAGAAAGCCCTCGCACAGAAACGAAGACCCAACACAGCCAAATAAATAAATAAAATTAAAAAATAAATTTATAAAAAAAATGTATAAAGATGCAATGAGAAGGTGGTGACGTCAGCAAGATGGTGGAACAGGAAGTCCCACACTCTCCTTCTCCCACGGAGACACAAACTACCCAACAATACACTGACCAATTCCCTTTATGAGAAATCCAGAAACCAGCTAAGAGGCTCCTGAACCTCAGGTAAGCACAAAACCAGCTGCACTACAGCTGGAAGAAAAATTCATGGTACTCATTCAACATAGTCCCTCCCCTTGGCTTAGCCCAGTGCAACTGGGGAAAATTCTCAGCTCCTGGCTTCTCCCTGGGAGGGAAAGAAAAGACTGAAACATACATCCAACATGCAGCCTTTCAGGGGGATGCCCGATTGACTAGTTTCTGTCTTGTCTTACTCTAAGTGTGACGGAAAAGGTGCCAGGTTGGGGGCTGCTGAGAAATAGGTGAGGGTTTGGACTAGCAATACACTCACTCGCCATCGTCCCTACCTGTGGCTTAGCACAAAACAAGCAGAAGAAAACCCCCAATTCCTGACTTCTACCTGGAGAGGAAGAGGTAAAATGTGTGTCCTACATTCCAGCTTTTCGGGGAGCTGCCTGAGAGAATAGCTTCTGTCTTGCCTGTCTCAGAGCACTGACAGGACCCAGCATACTCTAGATATTTGGGGGCCTCTGAAAACCAGAGAGAGCTGGGCGGCTTGCTGCTGCTTCTGAGGGCCTATGGTACAGCCGACAGAGGCCAATGGAAAGAAAGGAGGAGCATGCATCCAAAACTCCTGCTTTTCAAGGAGCCGCACAAGTGACTGGTTTCCGTCTTGGCCAACCTGCAGCGCTCACGGGACCTGGGATACTCTGAAGCCTGGGGGCTGCTGAGGAGAGCTGGGAGGCTTGCGGCAGCTCCAGAGAACCTGTAGTACCATAAAGAGACACCAGAGGGAGCAAGAGATTATGAGCTCGTGAAAAAAGAAGCCAGCAAATCCCTCTAGTTGGGAATCTAGTGCACAAGTCTAGAGAAGACATTTCTACACAAAAGGTTTGATAGGCCCCCAGATTCTCTAGCTGGACCAATTGGCAAAGGTCTTTCCTTGTACAAAGTCAGTCCAAAAAGACTAGGAGAGGTGGTTGTTTTTTCAATGCATGGATCTAAGCACAAAGTTGCAAGGTGCATGAAGAAATGGCAAAACAAGGCCTAATCAAAGAAATAAAACAAACTTCCAGAAACCAACCCTGGAAACAGAGGTATACGAATTACCTGACAAATAACTCAAAATAAATGTCATCAAGATATTCAATGAACTGAGAAAAACAATGCAAGAACAAAATGAGAATATCAATGAAGAGAAATATTAAAAAAAAAAATTTGGAAATGAAGAATACAATGACCAAATTGAAAAATTCACTACAGGGGTTAAATAGCATACTTGATCAAGCAGAAGAATCAGTGAACTCAAAGACAGTTTATTTGAAACTACCCAATCAGAGGAAGAAAAAGAATGAAAAAGAGTGAAGTATGCTTAAGGGACTTATAGGACATCATCAAGCAGACCAATATAAATATTATGGGAATCCCAGAAGGAGAAAAACGAGAGAAAGGGGCAGAAAGCTTATTTGAAGGAATAATGGTCAAAAACTTCCCCAATTTGGGGAAAGAAATGGACATCCAAATTGAAGAAACCCAAAGGAGACAAAGGACACTAGACAGTAACACAAAAGCATATGAAAGCATAAAGCTCACTGGTAAATGTATATATAGGACAAACACAGGATACTGTAACACTGTAATGATGGTGGGTAAATCAGGTTTAATTCTGGCTTAGAAGTTAAAAGACAAAGACAAAAAACTATAAAATACGCTAATGGATACACAACAAAAATATGTAATTGTGACATCAATAACATAAGGTGGGAGGAGTAAAACAGCAGCTTTTGTATGAGATTGAAATTGAGCTATTATCAGTTTAAAATAGATTATAAAATGTTTTATGTAAGCCCCATAATAACCACAAAGAAAACACCTATACACAATAGAAAATGAGAAAGGAACTGAAGCATGTCTCTATAGAAAAAAATCAATGAAACACAAGGAATGCCAGCAAAAGAGTAAAAAGGGACACAAAAGCTACAAGACAGAGAGAAAACAATGAACAAAATGGCAACAGTAAGTCCTTCCCTATCAGTAATTATTTTAAATGTAAGTGGATTAAACTCACCAATCAAAACACATACAGTGGCTGAATAGATTTTAAAAACCCCACAAGATCCAACTATATGCCTTACAAAAACTCGTTTTAGATGTAAGGGAACATGTAGGCTGAAAGTGAAAGTCTGAAATATATTCCATGCAAAAGGTAACCAAAAGAGAGCAGAGATGGCCCTACTTATATCAGACAAAATAAACTTTAAGTTAAAACTGTCAAAAGAGATTTTAAAAGGACATAATGATAAAAGGGTCAATTCACCACGAGGATTCAACAATTGCACATGCAACCAATATCAGAACATCCAAATATATGAAGTAAATATTGACAGAAGGGAGAAATAGTAACACAATAATATTTGGAGATTTCAAAAGCCATTTTCAATAATAAATCGAACATCCAGACAGAAGATCAATAAGGAAGTAGAGGACATGAACAACGCTGTAAGCCAAAAGGGCCAAACATACATATACAGAACATTCCACTAAACAGCAGCAGAATACACATTCTTCTCAAGCACACTGAGGACATTCTCCAGGATAGACAGCATGTTAGGTTTCGAAACAAGTCTTAACAAAAAAGATTGAAATCATACAAAGCATCTTTTCTGACCCCAACAGAATGAAACTAGAAATCAACAGCAGAAGGAAAACTGGAAAATTCACAAATAAGTGAAAATTAAACAATACACTCTCACTCTTGAACCACCACTGGGTAAAAAGAGAAATCAAAAGGGAATTAGAAAATATCTGGAGACAAAAATACATCACAAAACTATGAGATTGAGCAAAAGCAGTTCTAAGAGAGAAGTTTACAGTGTTAACAAGTTAAAAAGAAAAACGATCTTATGAAACTATGTGAAACCATGACAGATACTAAAGACTTAAAAAGAACAAAGAGACTTAAAAAAAGACAGAAGGGGCGCCCAGAGGCTGTCGGGCCAGCTCCACCTGGGAAATAGGTGAAATCTGAATTGGGTCTCCCACGAAGACTGACGGTTCAACGATATTACGAGACAGACACACAGTGGGCTCAGGCAAGGGTGGATGTAACCTGAATCTCCCTACGTTGCAAGATCGACCTCTCCTTGGGTCTGCCCTTGCCCTGGGCTATCAGGCAGTTGGACGCTTCTCTCGGCCTCCACTTCAGAGGAAGACGAGATACAGTTCTCACTGCAGCCTGCCTAGGACCCGATAAGCCCCACTCTCCTCACCCGCGCAAGGGCCGGGAACACAGTGTCCACCGCCATTTTACCCGACCTGCATCAGAAGCCTGAGGCCCGGCCACTTCCGGGAACTTCCGGGCACCAGTCCCGCAGACTGCGGCTCTGAGGACCTGAGCCGGAAGATGCGTCCTCGCGTATGGCGGAAGTGGCTGTGCGTGTGACGCCGGCGGCGGGGGACCTGGGGCAGAGAGCG